CCCCCCCCCCCCCTGCCCCGTCCTACATCCTGGCTACGGACCTGCTATTTAACAATCCCTGAATTTAACTGTCTTTAAATCTACAAATATTTTTAGAAATGTGGAATCTTGCACAGCAATTAAGGCAATATGCTCTCCCTTTCTTTAGGACTTATTGAACTTAATGACTATTGCAACTTTCCTTTCACCATTAAGTATATTCAGTAAACGCTAAAAGAGTCTTGTAGGCCTAATAAATGTTAAATTTCTACTGACATTCTTCCAGATCTCGATTAATTCGACACAGATGATGTCAATTTTGTCACTCGAAAAGAAAACATCCGACGTGTTATTTCTTTTACTATTAAACTCGTTCATAACATGAATGAGATCACCCTCCGCTATCGCTAACGTAGCACAACAAGACGTTAAAGATATCATATCGCCCCTAGGTTCAACAAACTCCAAAAGAGCATTGAACATTATTAGTGCAATTGAGAGGCTTGCTTGCTTTTCGCGGCTTATGTTTCTTTTCGAATTTGCAGATAAAAGCCATTAGGACTGCTTAGAGAGGTTGAGGGACGCCGGGGTTCAACAAACAGGCATTAAGATAAGGGTGTCAAAACTTAAACAAGGAGGCGATAAGGAAGCCCGAGAGCACACAACTCTTCTAACCGGTTGAGTAACAGTTCTAAGAGGGGTGGGAGTAACGGTGCGGTGTAGGTAGAAAAGGCATCCCTTCGAAAAGATGTCTGTGTGTTTGTTTGGGGGGAGGAGGGGGTCGATGGGGGTCGGGGGGGGGTGGATTGGAGGAGGGTTATTGGCCCGACCCTCCTGTTATTTGTCAATTATTGCAATTATTTGTAATTAATAAAAAATTTATTCTACTTGTCATCATTAAAATATGTGTCACATCTTACGTCATAGGGCCAAGAGAGCAGGAGAATTTATCAACTGTATGTTTCCTCAGCTGTTAAATATTTTGAAAGCGTGTTGGTATATGACATCAGTATTGAAAAAAGTTTTGGGAGGCATTTAATATCGATCTTATTTCAGTTAAAGTTTGCCAACTGATTTCAGCAAGTCAGTCCAACTTAAAACCGAAAATGATGCTTGGGCTCTGTTTCTCTCTTACATAATTTTCAAACTAATAATTTCGAAAGTTTTACAAACTTTTGCAAGAAGCTAAATAAGTTAATCAGCGAATAACCGGCCACTGAAACTCTCTGAACCACCAAATGACCGGGACAAATTGTGCCAAATTGTTCCCAAAACAAATCACTCCTAAAGTATGTGACAGATGACGAACGCGGCCACTGTGTAGTGTCACCGTGGAGAGGGCACAGTCGCGTGTCATTGACATCCATTAGCCCCGTTTGGGACATCCGAGTGTGTTCAGACAAATGTTTCAACCGGTTTGGGTTTAGGTACCGTCAGGAGACGGTGGTAATGAGCTTTGGCTCTAACTTACCATCTAGTAAATTGGTTTAGTCCGTTTTTCTTCCTGTAAAGACAGTACGACAACGCTGATGCGTTTGCCGGATTCCTTTTTTTCTTGTGCTAAGATAATGTCAAATTCTAAAATTTGTATTTTTTTTTCTTTGAACAACATGTCGGTTATTACATGTATATTGACCAAGCAACCCCCGCTAATAAATCACTGTACATCAAATGCCAATTTTTCAAAACTATCCGTGTCTCAAATTTGTCCCTTACTGTTCTTTTACCCGCCAGTAACTGACAAGTTTACCAAAATGTTATGCTAACCCTCTCCCTTATTTCACGAACCGTAGCAACCTTTGCGACGTTGAACAAGAAACATTTCAAAGTGAGATGCTTTTTTTTTTGTAATTTGTGAGGTGAAAACGGATAGAGGTCTCACTGACGCGTGAGCTGCAGATATCAAGATTTTTTTAGAACGTGCCATAAATGAAAAGTCAGTAAGACAAATGATACATTTATTTCAATTCTTAAAAGAAGTATTGGATTTTTGGTTTCGAGGACTCCCCCCCCCCCCCCCCCACACACACACACACACACACACAACCATGTCTTTCTGATTTGCGTAGAAAATAATTTAAGTTTTATTGAGAAAGAATTAAACGGTCATTTTATACTTGTATCCATGGCGATACATGTTGTTCAGGCATATTGGTTTGCAAGTACTGTATTTTTGTTTCTCAAGAAAATAAAAATAAAGAACAAATTCAAATACTCTGGCATTACCAGTGACTTGCAATCAACGCGCAGTGCCACTTAAAACCATCTAAAATTCCTTGCCCGTCAACGGCGCTCTTTTAAATTGTTACTTTTGTACTTTGGTGACAGAGTAGTGAATTCCACGTAAGTCATCCCTTTTTTCGGCACTCAAGCAGGAATTTGAAGAGTTTTAAGCTAATGGAGAGCTTTCTACATTATTTGAATAACTTCTTCGGTGAGAGAAGGCTTGACATTCGCAGAAATTACGCGTCTGGCATTCTCTATTTTTTTCAGCTCTTAAGTTCGAACATTTGAAATAGTCTGGTTTTGGCGTAATTCTTTGATGTGGAATACAAACAATGAATTGAGAGTACTTGTGCCTTTTTATTTCCAAAAATATAATATCTGCACATTTTCCACGAATATTTTATACTCATGGACATAACATTACCAGAACAAAATAAAGGTATTTTTGTTTGTTTTTGGTGAAAAAAAATCAATATGATTATATATTGCGACTCAATATCAAAAATTCATTTATACAAGAATCTCTCTTTAACTAGCGCAATTTTAATTGCTTAATTTCAATAAATAAAAAAGAAAACATTTCATCGTATTTAATGTGATTTCGTAATTCACCAAGTGCCTCAACAAGTTCATTTCTTAATGAAATCTGTTAGTCATAACTGGAATAATTCCTTACTTTAGCTGGTTTGAAAATATTTATGTAATAACTTGTTTGTCACTCTTACTGTGATAAATTAAATTTTTTTCTGAATTCCCTCATCTTGACACATTTTCATATTTTCTCAGCAACTCCTCGCACGTCATAATTGTGGCAAACCCGTGCTCCAAATTCGTCAAAGTGGCCTCGTGAAAACGCTCCTCGGTGAAGGCGTTGGCGTCGCTAAGAAATATAACGCTAAAGTCGTTCATAAAAGCCCCACGGGCAGTGCTTTCACAGGAGAGATTGGTCAACGCTCCGCATATGACCACTGTGTCGATGCCCATCTTAAGAAGTTCTGTCCGCAGAGATGTTCCCCAGAAAGCGTCGTAGCGGGTCTTGTCTGTGATTATGAGGTCGTCTTCGATGTCCAGCACTTTCCGAAGAGCAGGTACAATTTGCCAGTCTTCGCTCCCTGTATATAATAACGATGAATATTTCTTAAGTTAAAGAATGACACGATCCCGAAAAAAAAAAGGTAGAAAAGAAAAGGAGCGTTTCTAGGACCGCAATTCCTTCGCTAAATTTATTTATTCAATCTAATAAAGCATAAAAAATGAAACTGCAGCGATTTTTTTAGGATTTGTTTTTTTTTTAAACAGCACTGATCGCCGTTTTTTGCCAGGGGGGGGGGGGGG